CATGGTTACTTTTGGTCTCTGAATTTGTAAGACCCTCCATGCAGGCCTCCCCTGAGCTTGTCAGGTATAGTATGTGGTCCCTTTTTAATCTACATGGTAGAACTGGAATTTGATAATAGGCTTGTGTGACTCCAAAGTCCCTTCTCTTAATCTGAATCACTATACTACATTGATTTCTTCCTGACTGAATTCCCATATAAAATTGCTCATTGATTCCTTTTAATTTTTTCAGTGAAATATCTCTTGAATCAGTTCTTTCTTTTTTCACTGTTACTATCTTGTTCAGGTACATACTTCATACATATTTAAATATATGAATATAGATAGTGCTTTTTTTGGTAATTATAAATGTGATATATACTGGATGTAAGAAAATTCATTACAGCTCCAGACAGTGAAAATTCCCCAACCCCAACTTCTAAAGATAACCACCATTAATGGTAAGTATACATTCCTCAATTTTTTTTCTATGTACATAGTAGCATATCATGCTTTTTTTTTTAGCATATCATGCTTTTAAAAATGGAATCACATCATCTTGAAACTTGCTTTTCTCATTTCACATATCAGCATATACAGATCTACCTTGTTCTTGTTCTGTTTTTTGTTTTGTTTTTTTCTTTTTTGAATTAGGTAAAAAAAAAAATACAGGTTTTATACAAAGTTCAATAGGCACAAAAGGGTATTTTATGAAAAACAAGTCTCCCTTCATCCTTGTACCCCAGCAACCCATCAGAATTGCTGTCACCAGTTTCATTCTTTTCTTTTTTTTTTTTTTAAAGATTTTATTGGGGAATTGGGGGAGGGAAACAGTGTTGGGGAATTGGGGAAGGGGACCAGCCAAGTTGTTGTTCTTCAGTCTTTGTTGTGGAGGGCGCCAGTCGCCATCTGGCTTCCCAGCGGCAGCTTGTGGCCTCTAAGATCGTTGTGTTCAATCTTAGTTGCAGGTGGGCGTAGCCACCATCCGATGCAAGAGTCGAACCAGCAGCCTTGTTGTTAAGAGTGCATGCTCTATCCACTGAGCCACCGGGTGGCAGCCCAGCTCAAGGTGCTGAGTTCAGTCTTAGTTGTGGGTGAGCGTAGCCCACCATCGAACAGGCAATCTTGTTGTTACACCAGCTGAGCCATCCTGCCACCTGTTGGCAGTTCAGCAACAGCTCAGCTTGGGCACCGCGTCACTGGCCCATGTGGAAATCGAACCAACGGCCCTGTTGCTCAGAGCTCACGCTCTTAAGCCAACTCTTAACCAACTGAGCCACTCGGCCAGCCCTGTCACCAGTTTCTTGAGTAGCCTTCTGGGGCCTCACTCTTTTAATAGCAGTATAGCTTCCCATTGTATGGATATATCAAATCCATATACCATATTATTTTGGTGTTTCATTAGAGGGACACCAAGATTGTTTCCAATGCTACTATCCACTCAGGTCTAAATACCACGTCAATCTTATCAAGTATTTATCACTCTTTTGTTAGCAACATGGTGTTCCATACTGTACCCATAACTCATTTATCTATTTCTCTACTTAAGAGAATTTAGGCTTAAACACCATTTGCCCTGCTCCTAGGGCACTTGTGTTGTTAAGCATTTCTGCCATTTTGCCGGCAATACAGTTTCTTACGTACTCCTCAACCAAACTGTGAGCTCTTCAAAGGCAGAGTAAAGTGCTCATATTCATCTTTGTATCCTCCTAATCTAGCCCCGAATTTGGTCCGGAGTATATGCTCACCACGCTTGAATATAATAATAATTGAATCACCCGCGCTAAGTGTAGAAAAACGGAACGAGGGGAAAGCCCTTTGACTGCTCTCATTCTCAGAAGGCCCGGAACTTTTGTTGGGAGTGTCGTTGTTTCTCAGGGAGGATTTTTTTTTTTTTTTTTTTTAGCCGCAAAGGGTGCCCCGCACAAGCATGGTTGCTACGAGCCGGAAGTAGCTTTTTATTTTGCTGGAGTTAGCTCTTCCGCGGGGCGGAAAAGGCATGTCTGGCTGTGTCCGGACCATTTCCAGCCTCCTTTCCTAGCAGGACCCCATGAGTAAGCTGTGGCGACGCGGGAGCACTTCTGGGGCTATGGAGGCCCCTGAGCCAGGTAAGCGCCGGTCGATAAAGCATCTTAAACCTTCGCAAAAAGAAAAAAGAAAAAGAAAAAAGGAGTCCCTTTTTTGCTCCTCCGAGCTTCCAGGGTTCTTCGCCACAGGTGGGAGGAGATAGGTGGAGCTGTTGTTTTGGTAACAGCGAGCGCCGCGGGAAGAGTGGGACCTCTTAGGGGTATTGGGTTCTTCAGCGCTCTCACTACCCCTCTTCTGCTGTAAACCGTTGACAGACTCTCCTTCCGCAGGGGAAGCGCTGGAGTTGAGTCTGGCAGGAGTCCACGGCCACGGAGTGCACAAGAAAAAGCACAAGAAGCACAAGAAGAAACACAAGAAGAAACACCACCAGGAAGAGGAGGCTGGACCCACGCAGCCATCCCCTGCCAAGCCCCAGCTCAAACTCAAAATTAAGCTGGGTGGGCAGGTCCTGGGCACCAAGAGGTGAGGCTAAGAGAGGCAAGGTTTTATACTTGGGGAACTTTAGGAACAGGCAAGATAGAAGGGGAAGTTGGCTGGGCTTTCCAGACGACAGAATGGACACTGTGACTACAGGGCCCAGGTTAAGGCAGCAAGAACCCTAAAGGATGTGGGGAAGGCTGGATGTCGCTACTGAACAGGAGGGCACTTGCTCAGCTTACAGAGTGGTGTTGCTTCTCTGCAGTGTTCCTACCTTCACTGTGATCCCTGAGGGGCCTCGCTCACCCTCTCCCCTTATGGTTGTGGACAATGAAGAGGAACCTATGGAAGGAGTCCCCCTTGAGCAGTACCGTGCCTGGCTGGGTGAGAAGGATCTGGAGGTGGGGAAACTGGGTTTCTCATTATACCTGGTTAAGGGGAGAGGGTTGGTTCTAAGGAAGGTGAGAGTTTTGAGTGTCTCAGTATTAACTTAGCCAAATTAGGGTGCCCCATCTGAACAATTCTACTTTTATCTCTCCAACTTTCCTTTCCAGATGAAGACAGTAATTTGTCCCCCTCCCCACTTCGCGACCTGTCAGGGGACTTAGGGGGTCAGGAGGAAGAGGAGGAACAGAGGTGGCTGGATGCCCTGGAGAAGGGGGAGCTGGATGACAATGGAGATCTCAAGAAGGAGATCAATGAAAGGCTGCTCACTGCTCGACAGGTAAGTTGATTCATTTTTTATTCAGTTACCAAATATATAGAGAGAACTTTCCATGTCCCAAGAACTTTGCTTGGCAATGGGAAATCAGCAGTGCAGAAAAGGCAAGGTTTCCGTTCTCATGGAGCTGGTATTCGTGTGTGTATGTTGGGAGGTAAATATGTAAATAAATTTCAAAAGCTGTTAGATTTATAACAAAAATAGGGTGATGAAACAAAGTGGTGGAAAAGAAACATTAAATAGGGAGGGATGACCTCTCTGAAGAGATAACATTTCTGCTACCAGAGGGGCTTTTCAGGCAGAGAGACCAACAGGCACAAAGGCCCTGAGAGTACAACTGCTTAGCAGTGGTCAAGGAGAATAAGTGATTAAGACAGAAGGACTGTAAGCAGAGAAGTGATATATTTGATTTACATTTCAGTAGATTACTTTGGCTTCTTAGGGGGGATAAGGGATAGAAGCCAGGAAACCAGCTAGGAAGCTGTTGAAATAGTCATTGAGAGATGGTGGTGCCTTGAACCAAGGTGAAGTTGTTGGAGAAAATCAGATGGATATATTTTAGAAGTACACATTTATTGGGAGCAGGGAAGAGGAATCAAGGGTAACCTTGAGTTTTTGGCCTGAGCAGAAATCCAGTTGATGCTATCCATTGAGATAAAAAGATATAAAACAACAGTCACCCACCTACCCCTGCCCCGCCATGTGGTGCAGAGTTTTGGTACACAGGGCAGGCAGGTAACATTATTAGTACTTTTCCTCTTGAGTGTCAAGGATCTAAAGCTGCAAGTGTGGAGACCTGGGAGGAGGCAGTATTAAGGGCTCCTGGAGAGGGTGCTCAAGGCTCTTAAGACCCTGCTTTCCACGTGCCTTCTTCCCTCTTCCTCTTTCCTGTGCACCTCACCTCTCCATTTTTTGACACCGTCCATTTGTCTCTCCCCAGCGAGCTCTGCTTCAAAAGGCACAGAGTCAGCCTTCCCCGATGTTGCCGCTGCCTGTGGCTGGAGAGTGCCCGGCCCCCGTCCTCACCGAGGAGATGCTGCTGAAGCGTGAGGAGCGGGCCCGTAAGAGGCGACTGCAGGCGGCGCGGCGCGCGGAGGAGCACAAGAACCAGACAATTGAGCGCCTCACCAAGACTGCGGCCCCCAGTGGGAGGGGAGGCCGAGGGGCTGCGCGGGGCGAGCGGCGTGGAGGGCGGGCTGCGGCCCCGGCCCCCATGGTGCGCTACAGCAGTGGGGCCCAGGGTTCAACACTTTCCTTCCCACCTGGCGTCCCCACCCCCGCGCCGGTGGCTCAGCGGCTATCCCCATCAGGCCCTCCTCCACGATGCTCCGTCCCTGGCTGCCCGCATCCACGTCGCTATGCCTGCTCCCGCACGGGTCAGGCACTCTGCAGCCTTCAGTGCTACCGCATCAACCTGCAGATGCGGCTGGGGGGGCCCGAGGGACCCGGATCCCCCCTTTTGGCTACTTAAGCCCCTAAGCCAGACTTCCTCCTCTCCCCTGCCCAGATTCAGTGTCTTCCCCACCTTATTAAATTTCATCCAGTGCCTTGACTTGTACAGAATTGGGGGAACGGGGCATGGGAGGCCAATTCCTGGTACACACATCTTGCCCTCATTGGAGCTTGCATCGACGCCTGGGAAACGTCCACCAGGCCGCAGGAAGACGAGCCACTTGTGCCCAGACTCAGGCTGATTTGGGGGTCCTAGCCTCTTCCAGCGGCATTAACTAGCGTGGTCAGGCTTTTGGCGTCATCCTGAAAACAGGGCTCAAGCCAATCAGCGGAAACTTTGCTCTTCTGCTTGGCCGTTCATTGGTTGACAACGCGAAGCCTGTTCTGTTGTCCTTATTGGCTATTGTCGCTGTCCGTCAGGGCCGTGGGTCGAACCTTACCCATTCTTTGTCTGGGAGAGCTCTTGTTGTCTGGGAGAGTGGTGGAGGCGCTGCTGTGGATTGGTCACCGGGAGAAGCCTCCGATCCGCTCCTATTGGCCCGTCTCCCGGAGGGCGATGCTGATTGGTAGGACAGAGCAACCTGGGTCCTAGTTGGCAGTGCTCTCACCGGATGGGAGCTCCGACCGTGGAGTGATGGTGGCGGCAGTGAAGATGGGCCGGGCAGGGACTATGGCGGTGGCGGCCGAGATGGCAGGGGCGGGGTGGCTGGCAGTGGAGGAGGTTGTGGCCTTCAAGGGGCTGTAGGTGGAGGCATGGCTCAGGCCAGCAGCGGGAACAGCAGCGAGGAGGCCTGGGGGGCACTTCGGGTGCCGCAACAGCAGGTATCCCAACAGCTCCCAAAGCCTATCGCGACAGCCATTTAATTCCCTTTCCCCCTTCCTGTCCCTTCCTTTTGGGGTAGGGGGTGGGGGAGGAGCTCACGGGACTAAAGGTACTGTGAAGTTCCTAAATTTGCCCATTCCACTCTTTCTCTAAACTTTGTAACATAGATGCTGTTGACTTTGCCTGAAGCCTCATAGACTTATGCCATGGCTGCGGTGGGAGCTTGCAGTGGCTTTCCAGTGACCAGAGGCATAGTGAGGCCCCAGGGAGGCTCCCTCTGTCTTGCATCAGTTATTTGTGATGTTTTTCTGTGTGCCTATTGTCACAACAGAATCCAGCAGCGTCTTCTCCTGAGGGAGCAATTTGGAGAGCTGGAATCCAGACTCGCGCCCTGGATGCCATCCTTTATCATCCACAGCAATCCCATCTGGTTAGGAGCACTGCTCTGGGTCTCAACACTGCCTGTCCTCTACCCTGGGAAGTCTGAGACCCGGGGGTGAAAAGCCACGTTGGGAATGGGGAGTGGCAAACCTTGGGGGACGGTGAACGCCTCTTAGCTTTGGAAATTACTTTAAACCCCTTACCCATTGTCTAAGACTTTGAGATATCTCAGACTGCCCTCTGGCTTCTGCCAAAACATTCCATTAACAGAAAACACTTTGGCGGCCAGCCTATACACAGAGCTGAAATCTGCCTCTGTATGTCCACACTTTCATCTTGTTCTCTAGGCTGATTTTTGTTATTACAAATCATCTTCCATGTTGACACCCCTTCAGATATTTGAACACTTCTCTCAGCATTAGTCTTCCCTTTCCCTATAGATCTGAGCTAAAATTGGTTCACAGGGTGGGGTTGTGTATGTGCATGCAGGGGGTGGGGATGGGGGTGGACAGTGCCTTGGGCTGGAATAGGACCTGGTTCTAAGTGCCTCCTTGCTCCCAGCTTCGAGAGCTGTGCCCAGGAGTGAACAACCAGCCCTACCTCTGTGAGAGTGGTCACTGCTGTGGGGAGACTGGCTGCTGCACCTACTACTATGAGCTTTGGTGTGAGTCTCCAAGGGGGCTAGTCTCAGGTCCTTCTACCCACCCTCCCTTGTACCTCAGAATTCCAGCTTCCAAGGACCCTTCCCTGCATGGAAGTATCTAATACCCTCCTCATCCCCTGCAGGGTTCTGGCTTCTCTGGACTGTCCTCATCCTTTTTAGCTGCTGTTGCGCCTTCCGCCACCGACGAGCTAAACTCCGGCTGCAGCAACAGCAGCGGCAGCGTGAGATCAACTTGTTGGCCTACCATGGGGCATGCCATGGCCCTGGCCCTGTCCCTACCGGTTCACTGCTTGACCTTCGTGAGTGACTTGAGGCTCTGGGCTCACTACAAGGGGCCCCTCCCACACCAGGACCCTGAATCATCCCCACATTCCCTTTTCAGACATTTCAAAGCACACTTTTTCCTAATAGGAAAGAGACCACCATCTCACCACTGGTTGCCTTCAACCAACCATGCCATTCTTTCCTGCAGGCCTCCTCAGCGCCTTCAAACCCCCAGCCTATGAGGATGTGGTTCACCACCCGGGCACACCGCCGCCTCCTTACACTGCAGCCCCAGGCTGTGCCTTGACTGCTTCCAGGGAATGCTCCTGCTGCTCCTCTGCTTCTAGCTGCCCTGCCCACTGCGAGGGAACAAATGTGGAAGGTGTTTCCTCCCACCAGAGTGACTCCCCTCATCAGGAGGGTGAGCTTGGGGCAGTGGTGAGCCCTGCCCCCACAGCCCCCTCTGGCCGCTATCGCCGCCTAACGGGTGACTCTGGTATCGAGCTCTGCCCTTGTCCTGACTCCAGCGAGGGCGAGCCAGTCAAGGAGGCTAGGGTTGGTGCCACTCAGCCAGATCTGAGGGACCTCTCCCCTTGTGCGCTGCCCCTAGATCCCACACCCTATGTTTATCCTGTGGGGCTGGCTTCCAGTGAAGGGGATATACCATAAAGTTTTGGGAGGGGTGGGTGGGTTACTCGTCCACCAAAAAGAGCCCTGATCCCAACTCCTTGAGTTTTCCTCTCCCTCTGCCCTCCTGGATTCTGCTTGGAAGGGCTGGAGTCTTAGAGAGGGGCAGTGTTTGGGGGGACTGTGCTAGCCCTACCCCCCATGACATACACAGGAGACTCTGATCTCATTAAAGAGATGTGAACCAGCTCTTGTGGACTTGGGTGGACTAGTTCTCAACTCACTACATTGCACTTGACCTGACTGGATTTGGAGGGGGCAGGTAATGGCCACTGTTTGCACCATCTCTGAAGGACAGCAGGCAGTCCTAAGGTCTGGATTGAGCTAAGATCTCTCTTAGAGAGGCAAAGCTGGCAAAAGAGAGTTTGGCATGATTTTCCAATTTATTTAGAAAAATAAGACTCTGGATTCACATTCACCCCAGGTCTGTGTGGTATGACATAAGGAGACACCTGAGATGAGCTGAGGAGGGTTTGAAGCACTGGTATTTGAGGGATGGGGGCAGAAGCTAGAGACCTTGTCTCTAGTCCAGAGTGGCACAAGGGGCCTGACTCCCTCCCACACTCCCCTTTTAGTAGTCTTCAGCCATGGCCAGTAGGACAAGGCTGGTCCAACCTTGGAAAGGGCGGCAGCCCATGCCCCTCCCGTCCTGGTCACTGTATTGCTCCCATAGGAAACCTGTGGCCTGGTACTGTTGCCACACATTGCCCACCACATTGGCACGTAGCTCACTGTGGAGCTTGGCAGCCCGGGCCTGATGGGGACCCTCCAGATGCCCATAGTGGTGGAGAGCCCCCAAAGCCAGGTAGTTGACATTGAGCCACACAGCACCCCGCCAGTAGGGAGGATCATGCTCTGAATTGCGCTGGCCATAAAAGGAGCTGGAGGCTGCAAGGGAGCGCAAACCAAAGGGGCTCCAGAGATGGCGACTGTCAGCTAGAACATCCAGTAGGGGCCCAAGGCGGGAGGAGTGGGGGTCCAGCAGCTGCAGCAACAAGGGAAAAAGACTGATGTAGCCCAAGGCATCCACGTATTGCAAGCGAGGGTGGGGCCGGCCCACCACCCGCACCAGGCCCTGAGGGGGCCGAGGCTTTAGCTGCACAGCTTTTGTGTGGTTCCCAAAGTCTGCAAAGACTCCTAGCTCTGGAGCCCAGTGTAGCTCATCCAGGATCTTCTCTGCCCCAAGTGAGGCAGCCAGTGGGCCCAGCTCCGCAGCTGCCTCAGCCTCTCCCAGCTGCTCTGCTAGCCGCACCAGCACACGAGCACCCAGTGCTACCCAGCACCACAGGTCCAGGTGCCTCTCAGTGGCTGAAGGGTGTGAAGCCCGGGGATAGTCGTCTAGTCCAGAAGGCAGCGTCTTGGGGTTCAATAGGGTTGGCAAGGCTGGGTCCCTGCCCCGCCAGCGGTAAGATAGCGGTACTGGCCCTGCCTGGCTCTGATGGAGCCAGGAGAACCAGGCGTACAGACGGGGAAAGGCCCTGCGGAGGAAGGCTAAGTCGGCAGGATCACCACCTTCTAGCATGTGGGCAACAGACAAAAGTAGGGTGGGGGGGTTGGCGTGGGCTGCCCGTTGCACCAGGAATTCTGGGGGTACCCGTGCTCGAGCCTCATCCCCAAGCACCTGTTCCCGCCCAATCCAGCCATCAGCATTAAGCAGCCCTAGCCAGTGGCCTAGGGCTTCTCGGGTGAGGCGGGGATCCCACCGCTGGACCACCAGCTGGTGGAAGCCTTCGTCCCAAAGGAAGCCTCGTGGGAAGAATGACCGGGAGGGCACAGCTGTGAAAAGAGGGACAGGTGGAAAAAGGGCTGGGGCCACCTTCTGCTCAGACCCCTCAACCTTCATGTCTGGCAACACCAGACCCTGTCCATAGAAGTAGCCAATCCCACCAAGGAGGCCGCTGAGGGCAGCCCGACCCAAAGCCTGCTCCCCAGGGCTCAGGCCCTTCTCTTGCAGCCGGAAGGTCTTCTCAAAGCGCTCTCTAAAGGCTTCAGTATGGGTCTCCAGGGCCTGGGTCAGAAGGCTGCCTGCCAACTGCCCCAGAGCTTGGTTTCTTCCTGCCCGGGCACTGCCTGATTCAAACACCAGCTCCATGGAAAAGGGGACTTTCAGTGTCACCTGTTGTATCAAGAATTGCCCTTGTCCCTGTCCTTGCCCACTTGGGCCTCTGTCCTCCCACTTCAGAGATCCTGGCAAGCCAAGGTAGCGTTCAGGGGAGGCCCCTGGGGACCGATGCTGAAACCAGCTATTTAGGCGACTCTTCACCATCTCTGTCAGCAAGGGAAGTCCTGGGTTGGAGGACCAGAAGACATTGTAGCTTGAAAGAAAAAAGATAAATGGGAAGTATTATTAAGGAAGTAGAGGGGATTACAAAGAGATATATGAGGTCGTCAGCAGTCAGGATGGGAGGGTCTTGGCAATGCAGGGGACATGGAGCCTCGTAAGAAGGGAAATAACTGGTGGAAAGGGTAGAGTGGGGGAGACAGAAATAAGGCTAAGTCAGCCTCCATGCCACACACCTACCAACCACCCCACACTCTTCCCCCAGTTACCTGCCATACTTGGGTACAGTATCCCCTGGATTGGTTGGTGGCAGAAGTGTAAAACGGAAGTCACCAAGTTCACTAGTGTGCCCACTGATGAACTTCAACTGCCCCTTAGCCCCAACCTCTGGCACTAGGACTTCCTTGCCATCTGTCACCACATAGAAGAACAGAGACACCAAAGGGAGGGCAGAGGTACCTGAGGCCTGGATAACCAAAGAGGACAGAAAAACAGCATTAGATTGGCATTCTTGAGAATCAGACTTAGCAAGGGAAAAGGGCACCAGGTAGGAGCACCATGAGAAACATACATCTGGCAGTGTTGAGGGTCACTGAGAGTAAACGCCCAGTGGCATGACATAAAGAGCCTCGCACAGGGTTCTCTGGGAAATAAAGAGTACTGTGCCCCATATTATGCTAAGAATGCTACATATTATTTCCCTTAATTTTTACAATCCTGCTGAGTTAGCTGCTAGTTTTATCTCCATTTTACAGAAAAGGAAACCAAGACTTAGAGATAGTATAGAAATGGTTTTACCCGCAAGTGTTTAAGGCAGGTAGCCAGATTCAATCTAGGGAGCCGACTCCAAGTCCCTGCCGGTACCCCTCCCCCACCTTCACACTGCATTTGCTAGCAGCAAAGGAAGGGTGGAGGGAGTCTGGGCTGGGGGAAGGGTGTTTGGAGGCCCTGACCTGAGGCTCTACAGTCACTCTCCAGCTCCAGTCCCCTCCGTGCTGACCCCCAGGTCTCTTGACGAATTCAGTGGTGAGCCTTAAGGCCCCATCCTGGATGTGTTGCCGCCCGAAGGAAAGACCGTCGTGGAACTCCCAGCCATAGGGACCCACGCCGTCCCCCTGCTCACACGTGTGCCTGAGCTTAGGGATCCCTGGGGTGGCGCCTTGTTGCGCCCACATCAGTCCTGGGGGTAGAATGGCCACGTAAGTCAAAGAGCAGGGGTCCTGTCCCTCTGAGTCTCCGAGAATTTCAGGGTCTTCCCTCTTCATAATTCTCCTGATCCACTCCTCCCCATTCTTGCTCTGGCGTGAAGCTGGGACGCCTAGATTAAGAGTGTGCCTGCCTGCCCGCCGGGGCCCTGTTACCGGTGAGGAGGGGCTGTGGGCTTCGGGTTTTCATGCCGAAATAGACGTGAGGGCGGTAGGTGCCCCAGAAGAGGTCCGGAGCCACGGTGGGGCTGGAAGAGTCTGAAGGCAACGCCGGGGGCGCGGAGTGCAGCGTGACCGCCCGCCGCGCACGGTACCAGGCCAGCAGCCAGCTTCCCGACAGGCTCAGGGTCAGAAGCAGGACCACGATGGCCAGAACTGCTCCCCGGACCGTGCCACGGGCCACGCCGACCGGGCTGTTCCGACGCGCGGGGCCGCCCCGAGCCGCCCCCACAGACGTCCGCACTCCATCTGCCGGCGCTCCCCGGCGCCGCCTCTCGCCCCGAGCCATCCCGGCACGGAGGTCGGCGTCGCAGGAGCTCCGGGAGGCGGCAAGGGAGGCCGGGTCCTGTCTCGCCTCCCCGGCTCTAGCGCAGTGCCTGGGCTGCCGCTGATCAATCAGCCACACCAGCCCGCCCGGGCCTCCAGCTCCGCTTCCGCCTCCCGCCGGAAGTCCCGCCCCGCTAGTCAGGTTAAGAACCCGAGCCCGGAACCATGGTCGTCCACGTGGCATAGGGCTAGTCGCCCAGGTCGGCTTCCTGGGCCATTGTTTGTTTGGTGTCTTCACGGGGTTCACAGGCTAGTAGGAAAAAAACCACCCACTGATCTCACATTGGGCTCTTCTAAATATATTTTAAAACATATGTATTATGTATATACCTGAGATACTACCCTGAGTGTTTTATTTTATTTTATTTTTTTTTAAGATTTTATTGGGGAACTGGGGAAGGGGAACAGTGTTGGGGAATTAGGGAAGGAGAACAGCCAAGTTGTTGTCCTTCAGTCTTAGTTATGGAGGGCACAGCTAGCTCAGCTCCAAGTCCAGTTGCCATCTGGCTGCCCGTGGGCCACTCGCTGCAGCTCAGTTCAAGGTGCCATGTTCTACCTTAGTTGCCATTGGGCGCATAGCCCACCATCCCAAGCGGGAGTCAAACAAGCAACCTTGTTGTTAGGAGAACGTGCTCTCACCAAATGCGCCATCCTGACACCTGTTGGCAGCTCAGCTCAGGCACAGCTCACTGGCCCATGTGGGAATCGGTGGGCGACCCTGTTGCTCAGATCTCATATTCTTAACCAACTAAGCCACTCAGCCAGCCCCACAGTGTTTTACATTTAACTACTCCCCACCATGCCCCAGTCAGGTTGCTGAAAACTTGCTTAGAAAGTTGTCACTTGGGGGCTGGCCAGCAGAGTGGGGCACTAAGGGTATGACCTAATCCAGATAAGGGGAAAATGCCTTACATGCTTGCCTGGGGCTGGGCGAGGTAGATGAGTCTCTGAAAGGATTTTCGAGGAGCAATCTCTGTTCGGCTAGGACATACCTGGCGGCGGCGGGTCAGGTTGGGCAGCAGTCATGTCACAGAGCAGCCCCTCCTCCACAAAAGGTATTTTCATAAAGTAAAAATCCCTATCATCTTTTTAAAAACTCTATTTCACACCTTATGCTACTCTAGCTATTATCACACCTCCCATCCAAATTCATTAGATAAAATACTTTACGCTGATCTTCCACTTCCTATTTCACTATGATCTCTGGCCCCACTCTGCACTGGTAGACTTTGTTCATTCAGCAGTCACCTTCTGACTGAACCCAGTGGTCAGCTGTCTTTCTTGCTACCATTGTACCTGGTCCACATCTCTATTGTAATTTTATTCATCATCTTTGTATCCCAGTACTAATCATAGATAGGCACAAGGTAGATGCTAAATGCTTGTAAATTCAGCAAATGTTTATTGCACACTTGGTGTCTGGTAATGTGTTATGTAAGGTGCTGGGAACACAGAGAAAATAGCCACAACCTCAAGTTCACAATCTAGAAATACAGTACCAGCACTCAATCCATGTTTATAGCAATGTTTGAACCACCCCATTTTACAAATAAGCGGTTAAGTCTGGCCAAAGACAATAGCCAGTTAACCACAGAACTAGGGAACTCAAATCTAGGTTGTATATCTTTTCAACTATAGCATAAAACACAACACATAAAAATGTGTTATGTGTTGTGCCACTGAATTGGCTCAGGCTGCTGGTGACCCATAAATGAGTGATGTCCATCCCCAATGTCCTGTCAACTCCTGAAGACTCATGCCTATGGCTTCTTTCATGGAGTCAATTCACCTCATATCTGGTCTTCCTCATTTCCTGCTGCCTTCTATTTTTTCTAGCATTATTGGCTTTTCCAAAGAATCCTGCCTTCTCATGGTGTATCTGAAATAGGACAATACGGACTTTTACATAACACTTTGTTCCCAGTAATGTTCTAGTCGCTTAACAGTTATCAATTCATTTAATCCTCTCAAAGTTTTATAAGGTATGTACTATTATCCCCATTTTACAAATGAAGAAGCAGGCACTGAGAGTCTAAGTAATTTGTCCAGTTACATGGCTACTTACGGACAAAGTTGGGAATTCAACCTCAAGCATTCTGGCTCTTCACTACACTGTATACTGCCTCCTGGTAGTTTTCTTTATTTTAAAGAGGGAGGGAAAACTAACTCTTTGAAGATAGCACCCTATTTATTTTTTATTTTTAAAGATTTTATTGGGGAATTGGGGGAAGGGGAACAGACAAGTTGCTGTGCTTTTGTTCTTCAGTCTAGTTGTGGAGGAACGTTGCTTCACTGGCCCATGTTGGTATTATCATTGCGCTCTTCCTGGGTGAGGCAGATCAGTCGCCGGCCTCTGGACGGCCGCTCACGGCGGCTCTTGGCAGCTCACACTGGCTGTTCATGCTGGCTGCCAGCCACACACAGTAGCTTATGGTAGCCCAGTAGCTTATGGTAGCCCACTGCAGCAGGGGCTGCAGCCTACGCCATCGCTAGGGACTCACAGCAGCCCAGCTCCAGGTAGAGCTGTTGTTCACCAATCTTAGCTGTAGAGGGCAGTGTCACTGGCCCTCATGTGGGATCCGAACCGGGGCCCTGCTGCTCAGAGCTGGTGTCCCAAGCCAGCTCTTATCCAATGTGCCACTCGGCCGGCCCGAAGATAGCACCCTTTTAAGCAGAGCAGTATAGTAATGCTATAGGAGTCATGTAAAATGCATTTTGCCAAAGTACACAGGAGCCAGAGTCTAGAGATCCTTGAGTGCCTAGCTGAGCATCCTGAAGTTCTCTAAACCAATAGCTAGCAACCATTTTTTCCTATAACCTACAGGAAGAAATAATTCTCTCTTGCAACCGAGTACATACAGCTACACATACATACACATACTTTACATATCTATATACACGCATATATATTCACATATACTTAAAACTTAAGTTTCTTAAAAGAATACCTCCCATTCCATGTGCCATGCACTCTGAAACTTTTTATTCTATTTTACTTTGTTTTTTAAAGGTGGATTTACCCCTGAATTCATTTCATGACCCACACTAACAGGTGGTAACTCAATATGAAAAATACTTTAAGCACAATGCCTAAAAGTACTTTAGGCACTGTTGTCTGAAACAAGTAGTAGTGAGACAAATAACCAGTCATGTGCTTTGCAAAGATAAAATGCAGCAGCAACAAAAATGAGATTAGAAAAAAAGGAGACAAGGTAGGAGAACGCAACAATGATATAGGAGAGTGAATGGGAACGAAGAGAACATTTCAGGAGCTTTTGTTTAAGACAGAATGTTCTGAACTTACTGACTAGATATACAGGGAAAGGAGAGGGAAGAATCAGAGAGAATGCTGTGATTACCAGCCCAGGTGGCTGAGCAAATGAAGTATTTTTAAAAAGAACGGGGAAGTCAGGGGGTGGAGAAAGTATATGCGTATGTAAGATTATCAATTCTATTTTGGACAGAGTGTTAGTGGGATTTGGAGAAAACCCTTAGTGGGTAACCCAGTTATAGCACAGAAATTAAGATTAGAGCCAAATAGAAATGTAAGATTTAACCAAAGAGGGTAATTCAAGTTATGACAGAAGAGATGCCCCCAAAATAAAGAAAAAAACGAAGTACATGGTTAAGAGACGAAACCATGGTTAAGAGACGAAAAAGGAAGAGAAGTTCCATAAGGGAGTGAATTGAAAGTGGCAGATACTACTGAGATGAAAACATGAGGATTGAGAAAACAGCACTGGATTTGGCTAATAAGAATAACAGGTACCTTGAGGGAAGCCAGATTAAAAACGGTTAAGCAGTGAGTGACGTTAAGAAAATGAAATAAATTCAAGTTTGTCCAGACCCCTCCCGGATACTGTCTTGTCCCAGAACGCTGGTTGGATTTGCAGTCACAGGGATTTTTTTTTTTTTGCGGGGGGTTGGGGGGACGCTCTTTGTGTCCCTCCAGATAGTGATTTGAGTGATTAAGTCAAGCTTTTCGTGGATAAGTGTCCTAGTAAATCCCCGGCTAAAATATGCTTGGGGTCTCTTCCGCGCTATCAACGCTCGGCAACAGGGCCAGGCTTGTCCCCGCTACCCGCCGTGCCCCTGGCCTGGATGTGGGAGGCGAAGGCAGTGAGCATTTCCTGGGCGGTGAGGTGGGCGCCACGCATAATCAGGCGATGGCCGTCTCCTGGGGAAGAAACAAACGCATCAGGCAGGTGAAGGACAGCTGGGCGGGGGCCGAGGGTACGCCGGCTGCCTGATACTCCCTCCCACCCGACTCCCCACGCAAGCCCACCGAATAGCACGTCCACGCAGGGCTCGGAGCCGTCGTGCCTCACGTCTGCAATCACCGAGCAGTTGAGGTTGGTGGCGCGGACTTTCTCGCTGCTCACCGCCTGGAGGAAGGTCCTGCAATGGGAAAGCGGCGTGAGCGCCAGGCCGAGGGGTGGACCCCTGGCGGGAGCGAGGCTCGTCCCTTCCCGACCCCATTCCCTTCCCCTCGTACCTCGTCGACTCCACGTTCTTCTCGAAGGGGCAGAATTGAACCCGAACCTGCTTGACAGCCCGGAGCCCGAGCCGAGCCAAGGCCGCCGCCATGATAACCTTCACCCCGGAAGCACTCGAGCGGACGGAAGTGTTGTTAGTAAGAACGGCTGCGAGTGGCCGCGCTGCTGCAAGACTCAACCCGCTCCTCAGAGTGCGTAATTCCCGGTGCTATCCGCCTGGAACCGCCCCCCGCTCCCCCCCCCCCCCACCTCCTCGCGTTCTCAAGCCCGAGAGGGGGAAGCAGGCCAGGAGGGAGAGGTGGTTTCGGCCTTGGGTACGAGGAGCCCAAAGTAAACGGTCAGCAAATACTACCTTCATTAATAGCCCTTTTGTACCACGGTGAAGACACTAAACAGTGCAGAAGCCACTTGTACCTGGCTCGATAACACATCCGTCTGCTGCAGCCATTCCCCTTCAATACCCTGCTGTCCTGATCTAGGTTAATACCATCTTAAGTGCTGGTCCCTTCCAAGGAGAGGGCACCCCCATCACCAGGAATTATGTGCCTAACGGGGTAAACCCCACTCAGGTAATTAAAGATTAAACATGTTGAACTCTTGAGCAACCAAAGCTTAATTGTGAAGGACCTACATACAGCTCAGTATGCTTTAATGGCTGAAATAATAATGGGAAGGGGAGTACAGGGTAGTACAGCCCTTGGGGCTGATTTAGCGGTAGAAATATCTATTCCACCTCTGTGGTTCCTGATTAATTAACTTTGTGTTTAGCCTGGCTCTAAAGTCTTAAGAGGAAGTGGCATCTAGGCTGCTTTTTATTGCTTTTTCTCTTTCCCTTTCCCCTGAGATCCAACCCTATAGCCCTCCTCCCAGCGTCTAGCCCTGAGATGTCTTCACTGGTGGGGAATTAGGCCTGAGCCTCCAGAGATGCTGACCTCCAGCTTCCATGCTGTGGTTTTGCCATTTATTTGGATTCCAGGTAATGGAGTGATCTTGGATTCTTAGCTTGTAAGTCCAGGTTCTGTGTACTTTGTGGTTCTCAGGTATGCTTTCTTCCAAGTTTCCAATTGTAGGGTTCTTTAACATGTAGCTCCAAATGTCTGGGCTTTTCCAGCCAGAAATGCAGAGCTCTGACCTTCTAGCTCCAGATCGGGCTCCTTAGTATTCAGGACTAGTGCCCAGGCAGGAAAGAAAAGGCAAGTGCCAATGGGGGCGGGGCTGCTGGTGCTGCCTCAGGGCAAGCCAGGCCTGCTGATTTCCTACCAGGTAAACCTGGGGGCTAGGTCCCCTTCCCCACAGTGTGCTTAGCAGCTCAGCTGTCTGGGCTGGGGGTGCTGCAGGCCGAAGAGGGGGCTCCATGCTCTCCAGGCTGTTGAGGTTACTGCTGGGCAAGTCCAAGGTCTGGACCTCATTACATGCACCTGGTAAGGCAGGAGTGGAAGGCAGTTGGCTGCTGGGGGGTCGCTGAAACCAGATCAATGATGAGTATGGGGAACGGGGCACATAAAGTAGTGAGGGAGGCTCAAGAGAATCTGGAGATGGGGAGGGGGAGTGACTCACAGCAACAGGTAGGCCTTCTGTGGACTTGAGTCTTGGGCAGGGGCTGCTGCAATAGACACAGCAGGGCCCCCTCCAGTTGCTGGAAGACGCTGAGCCTGAGCAGGGTCTGGCGAAGTTCAGGGGACAGGCCCCACCTCTCTTCTTCCAGCAACTCTGGGACCACTCCGAAGTCTTGTCTGAGCTGCAGTGCCCCCTGTAGGCTGAAGGTGGAGGTACAATGTGGCAATCTGACCCTCTTCTCTCTCCAAACTGCTCTGTCCCACCTCTCCCCTTCCCTTTTCCAGTTCCATTCATTCCTTTGCCCCTGCCTCCTTTTGTGCCGACCTGAACCGGATCCCATGGGTGAGAATGTGATTCAGCCAGGCACCCAGGATGGCTGTCAGTGCCTGGCCAAGGGCAGGGGCCTGGGCTTGAGGTGGCAACCCCTGCAATCCTTGCAACACAGGCTCCAGTACAGTGCGGATCACCAACCCGGCATACTCACTGGGAATGGTAGGCAGTTCTGGAGTGAGAGAAGAGAAAGGACAGGATATAAGGCTACAGAGATCCAGTGAGCCTCTAATGGAGTGTTTGGGGGAAGCAAATAGGATTTCTGGAAGGGAGAGGGGCACAGGAGGTGAGGACAAGGATGGAGAGAGAGGAGTAGAGCCAGGATTTGCAAGGGTTGGAACGCTCTTACCCCCAGGGAACCCTGGGGATGCTGGAATGAGGAGTTACCAGGACAGAGACGATGCCGCCAGTACCGACCCTGTGGCATGTGAAGTTCAAAGCCCTGTGTAGCTTGTTTACGACATTCTTGAAAAAAGAGACTTAGTGACTCTTCAGGCAGGAGCTGTGGGGATAGAGACAAAGTAAGAGGGGCTTATCTGTTAGGTACTTGTCAAGTTCTGATACTCATCTAAATCTGAGGTGTTTAACCTGGCATCCATAAAATCCCAGAACAGAATAGTGTACATAATTGTATGAGCTCAGGCATTTTTTGGGGAGAGATGCCATAGCTTTTATTGGGTTTTCCAAAGGTCTGTACCCAGAAAAGATTATGGACAGTTGCACTAGGATTACCCTGCTCTCCCAGCTTGGTTCAGAGGATGGAAATCCTTCAGGTTAATTTTCTTCCATGAGAATGTTAAAAGGAAAGAGAGAGACACCTTCACCATGACCGATGTTCAAAAGCAAATGCTAGGGAGAGGCTGAAGAAAGAAAGGGGATTGTATAATCTCTGGCTATCACCTATGAAAGGAAGGCAGGAACTGCATGTAGACTAGGAGCAATGACTATGACTTTGAGATTCAAGAGCCTCTGGGATGTCCTTAACACTGAGTAGTCTTACAGCCCACTTGCATTTCTCCAGAGCAATGTAGCCCATAAAGCAAGAAAAAGCCCATGTGCTGGTTTGGTTTCTTTGGTTTGATAGGTTTTGTTTTTGGAGGGGGAGAGGATGGCAAAAAAGAGGGGATCTCTACAGCCCATCTTGGAGAAGAACCCCAATAAATGGGATATGTGGTGGCAGGTCTATAAAGAAAAGGCGACAATGCCAGCAAGCCTGAAGAGAGGAAAGGGTTTGGGGGGCCAAACATGGGGGTGGTTATGGAGCCCATGTAGCTTCTGGTACATATCCTGACAACAACCTATCTAAATCCAAACTCTTCCTCTCTTCTCCTGAAAATCAGCACCCCCTTCTTCCTTATTTAGGCCAAAGAAATTACCCCTCTGTCAACTGACATTGGTGAGGAACCTCTGCACTCAACACTGAAGAAAGACAAAGTCACACAATGAGACAGTCTTTCTCTCTGGGACATTACAGTCCAGCTGGGGAGAAAATTCACAACATCAGATTCTTCGTTTTCATCCCAGTGCTGTATGGTGAAATGCCCAGAGCAGATGCCCAACAGTGTAATCATCAGGCAGGGGAGCAAGACATCAGAATGCTTTATGCAGTGTTTGGTTCATACACTGAGCACAATGTCCCTGTTCCTTTTGCTCTGTTCTCAACTGCCAAGAGCTGGACCCTTGTCATGTTAGATCTCCTCACCTCCCATCCATCCTAACTACTATAGCTGGATCAAACTCCATCACCATCTTCATTGTTTCCCTTCTGCTCTTACAGTGATTCCCCATCACTCATGAGATAAAGCTCCAAATCTGTGGACTGGTGTTCAGTGCCCTTCACAATTTGATGCCAACCTGCTAACTCCTCCACTGTCCCCCACCTCCACCCCATATGTGTGCATGCATGCGCACACACTACACACAAAGGGAGCTTCAGCTTTGGTCAGGCTATCTCCCCCTTACTTCTCTAAGGAACTATGACCTGCCCACCTCCAGTAACTCCTGCCACTCCTCTGAGACTGCCCAGCCACCAGCTTGAGCCATAGGCCTTGTATGGAGCTTCTGTCACCACATACCTACCATGGTCTTCCATTCTCAGAGCTCCATGATCATCACTGTCCACCCTACTCATGAGGAGCCTGCTTTGGGGCATGCTGAGTTGAAGGAAGCAGCAATAAATTGAGGTGGAAGTGCCCAACAGGCAGATGCAGATGGTGGATTAGGGCTAAACCGGGCGGGTGTTCACCAAGGCACTGTGGGTAAGCAGGAATGCAGAAAGGAGCAAAGGGACAAGCACTGAACTCTATAGCTATGCCATTATTCAAGGCAAAGAGGAGAAATTTGGGCAGGAGGAGAAAACAAAAGAGAAATCTTTCATAGTAGGAATAGATAATGTGCTAAATGGGGAAAAATTAAAATACAAGCACAGTAGTTTTAATAAATTTAGAAGAAAATAAATTCTGGAAGAAACAGCCAAGAGTAGATGAAGGTAACTACTGTGGAGCAGGAGTCAGAGGTAGGAGTGGGGTGCAATTAAAGTGCCATGTTTTCATTAGAAGTCTTCTAAAATAATATTCTATTTCACTTTTAAACTATGGGCATGTATTACTTTAATAAAGATACAAATTACATGTTTTAAAAAGGAGAAACATTGTATTCAAAACTCATAAATAAAAGGATTCAATCATTTATCTTGCTTTTTTTCTCTACAAATGTACCTCAGAGTAATAACCAAATAATTAATGAAGGCAAGTTTCACTTTATAGGAGTAATCCAAATAATAAATGAAGAAGGAATGATAGAATTGGAATATCTCCACTTTGTACCCCCTAATGAAATCAAGGATCTAGGCAGTGGTCATCAGTAGCTGTTAACAACAAAATGAGAGCCTGATATGGTGGGGGTGGAATATATAGATGAAACAAAATTGACCATGAGTTGATCATTGTTAAAGCCTCTAGGGTAGGAATATGGGGTCCATTATACTCTTCTCTCTACCTTTGAAATATTCCATAATAAAAAGAACAAAAAATGAGCAAAGCAAAAAAGATAAATTTAGCAGAGACTCCAAAAAGAGTCCAAGTCGTTGAGATACTCTGTCACCACACCAACCCCAAAGCTGGCTACTGTCAGGGTCCCCGCTCTCCTCACCTGGATTTGTGTTGTCAGCTTCCGGATCTCCAGACCCAGCTGCTGTTCCACCTCCAGGACCAAGCTTTCCTTTGATGCCAAGCTGGACAGAGCTTCTGCCTCGTGTAATAGAGGCTTTGGCAGAAACAGGGTGTGAGGTCTGAGCCCAGCCTAGGTTGCTCCCCTCCCCATCCTTACCTACTCACAGGCAAGTCCTTCTGAATCAGGAGCAGGAAGGAACCTGGGGCCCACGCTGCCAGATGGTGCTGAGCTCTGCCCCAAAACCAGAGCAAGGTTGTCTGCAGGGTGCAGAGCCCCAGAGCAAGGGGTACAGGACCTAGGGAAGGGAAGGACAAGTATCGGAACCATCATGGAGCTCATCTGGGAGGAGGCAGGCTTCAGAACAGAGTGAGGGAATGAAGGAGATACCCTCAACCATTCTCTTCCCCAGCTCCCTCACCTGAAGGCTGACAGAGGAGCAGCCCTGACCTGGGCTCTTGAAGGGCATCCAAGAGAGGAGGGAAGAGCTGCTGCAGAAGTTCAGTGGTATGAGAGGATGAAGAAAGGCTGCTCTGATCAATAGTAGATCCCAAGGCCTGGCAGAAGCCTGAGGATAAGGGGGTATGGTTTAATGGGGAAGGGGCAACCTGGGGCTTGTGTCATTCCCAGTGCCCCTTCCTTCTTACCTTGGTCCCAGCTCCGGATAAGAGACTGATGAAATAGGCTGTGACACAGAGAAGCCAGCTCCTTCTCACACTCCTGAGGCAGGGATGCTAGTGGGAGAAATGACCCTGGAGCCTGCAAACAAGGCCTCGATTTTCCACAACCGCTGCCCCCTCAATGATGGGAAAGTGGGAAGGCATCCTCCAAGAGGCAAGCAAGACTGAGGTAGGAAGCAAGACTTTGCCTTGAACACTCAGAAGCCTGAACCACAGGATGAGGGTAAGGGGGAGAGGGAGGGGTTGTTGATTCTACAAGGCCTGCTTTTGTAGTCAGGCTGGCAGGTGAGCGAGGTGATTAGGGAGAAGGAAGGGACCCCAGCCTTCCCAAATGCCCACCCAAGTCCATCACTCACCCTGATCCAGTGCTTGATTCAGCTGTTGTGCCGCTTCCCTGGGGTCCCTCCAGGGTCCTAGACTTAGGTCCAGACTCTGAGCACAGGCTGCCCACAACAGAGTCCAGTATTGGTTCCACAGGGCTCCAGTCCCTCCAAACCCCAGTTCCCTGCTGGCTGAATTCTCCACGCCCCCCATCAGGCCCAGGAGACCTGGCAGCAGCTCCTGTTCCTCACAACACTGCCTGCTGAGCTGGTCCCGCAAGCCCGATCCCCTGAGCGCCTCATCCAGCCGACCTGCCACCTGGCAACCCCGCTCCCCTGTCAGGAGGCAGAGCACACGCGCCGGGGGGAAAGGGCGCGCTGCCCCTGGGACGTGGCTTAAGGCCGTTCCCTGCAGTTGATGGTAGGCCGGAAGCGCCAGCAGCAGGTCGGCGAGTTGGGACGACAGGCCGGGGCTGGCGGGCGTCTGGCCCAGAGCGCGAAGCTGCATCTCGATGACAGCATGCAGGCGCTGGGCTGCTAGTCCGACCGGGCGCGCCAGGAGGAGCGGCTCTGGAGTCTCCCGTAGACCCGCTCTCAGGATGGCCCCTCGGGAAGGCTGCGGCAGCAGGTCGCGACACAGCTGAGGCAGGGGGTCGGGGGACGGCGCGCCGGTACTCAGTATCCTCAGGAGGTGCACGGCCGCCTGTAGGTGGCGGGCGCAGTCCCGGGCTCGGAGGAGCTGTTCCCTCTCGCGGTGCAGCCGCAACAACACGGCTCGGAGACACTGCAGCGCCGGGGGTATCGGGCCTCTCACGGGGGTCTCCTGCCTCCAGTCCGCAGCTGCAGCCTCGTGGTGCTCTCCCGCGTCCGCCGGCGCCACCCACCACGGCTGCCTTCCCGGAGCTCCGCCTGGTCGTGGGTTCGAGCAGGGGATGCTCCCGGCAACCGGCAGCCGGGGCCAGCCACGAACGTCCCAGCCGAGAGCGCCCGTCCGCCTTCTTTCCCACTGTTCCTCCCCAGCGCTCCCGGCTTGCGCCCACAACGGTGGCACAGGGCCGAGCGGAGGCAGAAGGCCACCGGAGCGAGATGCCTGGGCCATAGAGCGGCGCGTCGGGAACGAACCTAATGATTCCCATTTGCCCGCACGGCCCAACGCCCGTGGTAGCCGGGACTCCGCCCCACCCCAAGAGCCGTCATTTCTTGCCCGGGAGCCTCAGGGACCGTCCTGGACTCTCTCGCCCTCCGTAGTCGGAGGCTTCTGCCCCTAACAAAAATGGCTGCCTAGCCCGCCCTACCCCTCCCTTGGCCGGCACCAGACTCTTTCACTTTCGGGTCACTGTGGACCGGAGATGGCGCGGACTCCCAAGACAGTGGGGCTGATCAAGCTAGGTGAGCAGGTGTGACAGGACGGGAGGGGGTCCAGGAGGGCAGGGGCAGCCTCTCCTGGGTCTGTCTGTTTTCAGCAAGATTTTGAACTTCACGCGGTGGGCAGAGGGTTACGGCCAATCCATCCCGAGTCCCCCTAACGCGCCGCGGCTTTCGTTTCCTGTAGACTGCCCTCTACAGTATGGCCACCCGCTGGGGGTCGCTGCTGTCCCCAAACTCTACCAGGAATTTGGACCTGAGGACTGCGGCGAAGAGGTAAAAGGGACTCTTTGCTCGCCCTCGCCCTGTCACGCCTCTTTTCAACTTGTTGTGCTGAGCCGGGCCGTGGCGGGCGGGGCGCCGCGCTGGGCTTCAGGGGCTCCGGAGAGGCGTTGCCTAGGGCCCGCCCTCGAGGAGCGCACGGGTGGGGGACGGGGCGGAGCCCCGGGACCAAGCTGCGGGATAAATGCTTGAAGTGGGCAGGGTTGGGCAGACTAGAGTATCTGGGTTGAAGATTGGAGTTCTCTGGAAAAGGATATTATAAACAGAGGGAGCAGTGTGGAGCAAAGACATTAAGGCAAAAACGAGTTTGAAGAACTTCACTGAAATGAGACCAGAGTGGAGGGTTTGGTTGGAACCATAAAAGATGAGGTGGGAAAGAAGGCAGCAAGTGACTTGAAAGGCCTTGCCCGACACAGGGCTTTGGGGTCCTCAGGTAGGTGATAGGGTTATTGAGGGAGGGACAGGATCAGATTTGGGAGCACTGAGAAGCTATACTTCAGCTGCTTCCTAGTCATCTCTAAAACCTCAAACTCACACGTCCGGAAGTTGATTCATCATCTTTGCAAACTGGTTGCCTTTCCTCTAATCTTAGTGTTGGTTAGTAACACAGCTTTATCATCTAGTTGCTTAAACCAGAAATCTGAGAACCATTCTCTATAATCCTCCCTTTCCTTTAGCTCATTCATTTCGGGCAGTCACTAAAATCTGCTTCTGAAATGTCTCTTAAATCAAACCCATCATTTCCATTCCTGCTCCTGCTGCCACTGCCCTTAGTTCAAGAACTCATTCTGTCTGGCCTGAACAGTTGTAATGGCCTTCTAGCTAAACAGTCCATCCCTAGGCTTTCTTAGTACTATTTTATTTGAGTGTTTCACTCCCCAGATCAGGTCCATTCCCATCACTGACAGGACAAAGTTCAAACTCACTGTGTCACACAGAGTTCAGATGCAGCTCCTGACAGCATCTCTATTAGAATAGCCTCCTCACGAATCTCTCTGCTTTCACTCATCAGCACACACTCGTTGAGTACCAACTATGCACCTAAAACGGGCACTAGGCTGTTTTAGGCTGGGAAGACAAATCAAACTGACAAAAATCCCTCCATTAAATGAATTAGAAGTATCTAGTGGGTGCAGCCAGTCAATAAATAAACAATATATCAATAGTATGTCAAATAAGAGAAGGGCAAAGAAAAATAAAGCAAAAAGAAGGATAGGGAGCACTGAGTGGAGGTGAGAGATTTCTTGTTTTAAAAGGAATGGCCAGAGAAGGCCTCCCTAAGACAGTTTAAGCAGAGATTTGAAGGAGACAAAGGATTGAGCCATTCACTGGGAAAAGAGCCTTCCAGGCAGAGGCTGTTTAAGCAGAGATTTGAAGGAGACAAAGGATTGAGCCATTCACTGGGAAAAGAGCCTTCCAGGCAGAGGAAATAAGTACAAAAGCCCTGAGATAGCTTGTCAGTGCACTTGGTGTGTCGTAGGAACCGCAGAGGAGACCACAGTAGCTGGAGGAGGGCAACAAGAGGGTAGGAGATGATTCATGAAGGCACTGGGGGGGCCAGATCATGTGTGGTCATGTAGTGAATTAAGAGATTAGCATAGAGTGTGTTTGGGGGAGGTGGAAAGTCAAAGAAGCCTTTTTTTTTTTTTCTTTGATGGCTGGACTGGGCTGAGGATGAAGAGGGAGGTTGAAGATATAGGGAAAGACATTTGAGTGGCACATCCTGGGGATGTTGCCTAAAATGGGTCTAGGGCATGCATGATTTATGCCTAAGTTCCAGTTAGGAAGTCTAAATAAGCCCACCTGGAAATTGGATTTGAGACTAAGACTTGATGGAAGTGCCCAGCAGTGTAAATAGAGATGCTGTTGAGTCAGGACTGTCTCCTGAGGGGAGCCCTGGATCTAAAATTGTTTAGAAGGTTGACTGTTCCTCAAGTGATCTGAAGTCCTGCCTATGCATTATGTCAGCACTCTGGAGTTTCATGTGGCTTCTAAGTTTCTCAGTCAGTGGGCCACGACTTAGTTGGTGTCTGCGCTGCTTACGCCTGATTATGCCACATAGGGATGTGATGATTCCTGTCCTTCTTAGTTTACACCAACTGAGAAAACGATTCTCATCAGAACCACAGAATGTACAGGCCAGGGCTTGAAGAGTCTTGCCTCATTTTGTCAGTGAGGAAGCTGAGAGGCCCAGAGAGGTTAAGCAACTTGTCCAAAATCAAACAGCCAGGCAGTGGCTGAGGCAGAAATAGGATGTAAGCAACTCCACTCCAGCCCAGTACTCTTTCCAGTTCCATGCTGCCTCACCAATTAAGAAACCAATAAAATGCAATGACTAGTAAGGCTCTAAATTGTATAACACAGACTCTGTGAGTGCAGCTTTGTTGAGAGAGGGTAGACGTAATTGGAGATGAAAGGGTCTGGCAAGTCTTTGAGAGGAAGTGGAATTTGAACTGGACCTTGAAGGGGAGACACGGTGTGGTGAGAAGGAAGCTCAACCAGGAGGGATTCAAGGACTGCTGGGGGAAGACCCCAAGGCTGGAAGGAGCCTGCTGGCAGGGAGGACGGCAGGGGAGGATTGCAAGGGAAGATTGGAAAAGTCAGCCAGGGAGCTTTTTGGAAGGCTCCAAATCCCAGACTGAGAAGCTAGATTCAACCCCGCCTGTGGCCCTGGCAGTGGGGGATTACTGGAAGTGTTTGAGTAAGGGAGTGATTGTTGAGAGCTTGGTTTGGGGGAGAAACAGATGAAGCGCAGGGGAGAGGCCAGCCAGGAACTGCCCTATTCCTATAAATGTGAGGTAGCTCCAGCATGGGTTATATGAGGGTTTTCATAGTCAAGAATATATCAGGGGTCCTAGCTGGAAGAGCTGGTAAGGGGGCTCCATTTCAGGGGCTTCAGTATGGCTGACCTAGTGGCAGGTCAAGGGGAGGAGATCCTGGATGGTAGAGAAGGTTGGGTCGAATGCCACACTCAACCCCCTGGGAAGGCAGGCCAGTAGTGAGTTACACCATGAAAGCTGGGAGCAGCGTGTTTTGAGGTGCTGAATGGGGAGAGGTCAGCCAGCAATGTTCTTCAGGCTGGGTGGCTGATTTGTGGTTGTCATGTGGAGGGGTCCAGCCAAGCCCCTTGCTATCTTCCCGAGCTCCCCCCAATACCGGCTTCCCCTCCCCTCCCTCTCCCAGGACATAGTGGATTTTCTTCAACAACTTGTGGAGAGTGATCCCGAGGGCCTGCACCGGATCCAAGTGGATGGGAGCATCGGGCAGCTGCAGCTGTGGCACCATGGTGGCGAGTGCAGGGGCCTGGCCCAGGGATCCAGGCTGGTATCCTAGGGAGGGCTGGCCCTCAGATGTTCCTCTCTCTCATGTTCTTCTTCCTTTCCCTTCTCTTTCTTCCTCCTGACAGATTACCTCGTGGACCATTTCAGTGATGAGGAGGAAACTACTGCACAGAATGACAGGGGCAAAGGGGCTGAGGGACCAGGCACCTACTGCAGTTTCCAAAAGTCCTTCCTGTACCCTCCCCAAGGGTCTAAGCCCTGCCCTCCAAGACCCCCTGCCTCGGCATCCTTCCCCAGTGACTCAGACAGCCTGCTTCAGATGGCCATGCCCCAAAAGCTCCTGCTGACTGAAGAGGTGAGACTGTCTGCAAGAGGCCTCACCTTCCCCCCAGGGCTCTTCCAGCCCCGGATGCTCATATCTGTATTCTCCCCTAATCTGGACATTTCAATATCCTTTCAGACTGCTTCCCTCCCTTTTATGTTCTCTCTCGTTCTCTCTTTTCCTGTCACCTGCCTTTCCTCCTCTAGGAAGCCAACCGCCTGGCTGAGGAGCTGGTAGCTGAGGAGGAGCGTGTGAAACAGAAAGCAGAGAAGAAGCGACTCAAGAAGAAGGTCGCTGGAGGGCAGGAGTGGGAGCTCAGAGGGATTTGGATGAAGGAATGAGGGAAGCTTTGTGAGGAGAGGACTCAAGGGGGCCTGCAGTGGATCCTCTTGCCAGGGGGGCCCAAGGGGCTCTGGAGGGTCTCCCAGAGGCCACGTGGTGCACATGGGTCACATGATACTGCCTGGGTTGGAACCTGCCTTTTTCTTACTGTGAGATATCTGCCTGGTGACTCTCTTGTCTGCTTTTTCACCTGTAAAATGAAGATAACAACACCTACCTCATAGAGTTCCAAGGGTTACATGAGATATTGTATGCAAAACTCTTAACCTAGTACATAACATAGAATATATATTACACCCATGAAGAATTGGTCTCAAGATACAAATTGTGTGTGTGTGTGTGTGTATTTAAATATAGTGCTCAAAATACATCATCATCATCATTATTATTGCAGCGTCAAAAGGACCGAAAGCGACAGAAGCGCTTGGAGCAGGATGGTGGGGAGTCCAAGGTGAGTGTCTACAGGAAGATACTAAGCACCAAGTGCCAGGAAGGCGGAGGCTGAGAAGGCAGGCAGCTCAAAGCCATCCCAACTCTGTACCTGTCCACCTTCCCTCCAGGCCGAGGCCACCCCAGAAGGGGATGGGAGTCCCCCATCCAGCCCTGGGAACCCAGCTCAGGGACGCTGTGGTGAGGAAGAGGTAAGAGACCCCTCCCTTCCCTTCTTGGTCTGCCCTGTCCTCCCCCTACTCTAGGAAATACTTCATTCCCACCCCCTCCCTCCTTTCCTTTCTGCGCACAGGACTCACTGGATCTATCTAGCACTTTCGTGTCTCTGGCTTTGCGCAAGGTTGGGGATTGGCCTCCCAGTGCCCTCAGAGAGAAGGAACTGAGCCAGGAGCCCCAAGGCAAGCGCCTGGGCCCCCAGGAGAAGATGGACCAGCAGGAATGGAGCTCTCCAAGAGAAGAGAGCCCCGGGCAGAGTCCTAAGGCAGAGGTGAGGGGCAGAAGAGCCTCAGCTGGGATCAGTGGAAAGGGTGCCAGAGACCTCGGGGATGTCACATGACATAAGGGTTGAGGGCAGTGACCAGCAGAAGGAGTTCTCTGGCCCCAGGATGAAGAGACCTGGGGTCAAGCTGCATCACTGTCACCTTGACCCTGGGTGGTTTCCTCTGCAGGAAGGTAGGGCTGGTATCATCTTGCAGAGCTGTCATGAGAATTACATGAGTTGGGTGATGCTAATTGTTTGAACAAAGGAGAAGGGTTTGGGGAGGCTGAGGCCTTGAGTCCTGCTTGACTTTTCTCCCTATACCTAGGCATCTGTGGAACTGCTGGCAGCTGCCTTACAGCAAAGCCAGGAGCTAGCAAGTGAGATTCTTTCTCTCTCTCTCCTCACCCCACCCTCCCTGGGGTAGCCCCATCTGAACCTTCACACCCTCTTTTCCTCCCCAGATTTGGGGACCAGCTTTGCCCAAAATGGTTTCTACCACGAGGCTGTGGGCCTCTTCACCCAGGCCTTGAAGCTCAACCCCCGGGATCACCGGTGAGTGGGGCCTTGGCCACTGTGTGGGAGGTTAGGGCAAGGCAAGGTGTTGAGGACACGAACTTTTGGTCACCTTGTCTTCACCAGGTTATTTGGAAATCGCTCTTACTGCCATGAGCGGCTGGGTCAGCCAGCATGGGCCCTGGCTGATGCGCAGGTGGCCCTTACCCTGAGGCCTGGCTGGCCCCGGGGCCTCTTCCGCCTGGGCAAGGCCTTGATGGGACTGCAGGTAACGGGTCTGACATTGGAAGTGGGGGAGGAATTTGGATGGGATGGGGTGGGTATCAGGTCTATATGGACATATTCTAGGTAAGCTCTTAGTACCACAATGTCACAACGTTAGTGGTAGTAGGAACTGGGGCCAGTTTGAAAAAGGGGGCACTTTTAAGTTCCTTGACACTCGCCCCCCCCCCATACCTAAACTTTCCTCTTTCTAATCCCTCTGGGACCTCAGCGTTTTGAGGACGCAGCTGCTGTCTTCCAGGAGACTCTGAGAGGCGGTTCTCAACCTGATGCAGCCCGGGAGCTCCACTCTTGTCTCCAACAACTTTCTTTGGTAAGGGAGCTGGGCCCACTCATGCCAAGGGAGCAGCAGGGAGAACTGGCTGGGACTGCAACACCAAGCAGTACTGCCTTCTGCCTCAGTGGGTGAGGGGGCAGGGGCTATGCTGTTGGAAAGGCGTTCCAGGCGCCCCTCCCTTCCCTTCTCAGCAGGATCAGCCAGGAAGAATCCATGCATCAACTCTGCAAAGCCGATTTCCTCAGCCATTACCCCACATTGAGCCAGGGGCCTCAGGCCTCCTCTCCCCCAGTCACCCTCAAAGTGCTGCTTCAAGGGCCCCTGGCCTTCTGTCTCCACCCTTGCATTATCCGCCTTGTCTCCTGAGCCCCTCCAACTGGCCCCTCCCCCAGACTCCAAATAGAAGACCCTGGCCTCTCCGTCCCCAGAACCCCTCCAATGGCTGGGGCCGGGGACTTGGGCCCTGGCATCTACCTCAGGCAAGATGAGGGAGGACCTGTCCCTCACAGGACAAGGCCATGTATGCATCCCACAGGGATGAGGGACACTGTGTGGTGGCAGTTCCCTGCATATTTTGAGACCTTGTACTCTAAAACCATAGTTAGAGACACCCCTGGCAGTCATTTGTCTTGCCACGGAGACCTTCCGATGAGAGAATGGAGCTCATTTAAATGTGGATCTGTAGGGGACGTTGAGACCTCCCAGAATGGCCTTCCAAGAGGAACCATTCATCAGGATGAATGCCCTATGGGTCTTGCTCACAGCATTTACATCTGGCGATAGGAGGTGTTGAAACACCTTCTTTATATGGGGCTTTCCCAAATTCTTTTTATTGTTTACAGTGCAGGCCCCTTAAATGCTGTATAGCAGGATGCAGTCTACCATTACTCTTTGGGTCACCTTGGGCTGGTCTTTCAATATCTGTGCCTCAGTTCCCTCATCTGTAAAATGGGGCCAATCCCTACCTCATAGGGCTGTTGTGAGGACAAATAAAATGTGTGAGAAAATACCTACCAAGTGCCTGGTACATAGTGGCTGTTAAATAAACCAGTTTTTATCTGCAACTGTCCTACATGTTTATGATTATCATGGTGGAAAGACAGAAGTATGAGTAAATTGCTGCTTATGTCTGAAAATACAGAGTTCCTGGGACTGGGGTTCTTAAAGTGTGGTCCCTGGACCAGCAGCAGCAGCAGCACCTGGGGGCTTGTTACAAATGCAAATTCCCACCCTAGACCTTCTAAATCAGAATCTGCAGCGGAGCAGGGAGGCAGAAACTTGTGTTTCAGTAGCCCTCCAGGTGATACTAACGGACACTAATGTTTGAGAAGCTCTGCTCTGGGACCTAGCAGAGGAGACACCCATCTAGAGACCATTTTGTCGGGACACGTTTGAGTTCTGTTTATTCAAAACTTGATTACAAGAGGTGGCAGCATTAGGCTAGAATTTAGGAAGCCTCGAGTGGAGGGGGGTTATGGCTCAGAGCCAACTAACTTGACGGGCCCCTCCCTTCCTAAGTAGAATTATCTGCCCTGGAAATTCTTTGCTCATGCCTGGTTGGGGAGAAGTGGTTGTTTGTTTAATGGGTGATTATATTACTGTGACTCCATCAGAGGCTGGCCCATCTGGCCTTCTTGTTCTGGGGGACTTCTCTGCTTTGGAGACTCCACTAGGGCTTCTGGCCCATCAAAGAATGGCTGCCCACCACTACTGTGTAGTTTCTTTGCTTTCAGGCTGAGTTGGCTCCTTGCTCTTCCAGCCTCTCAAAGAAATGTCCCCTCGGGGCTGGCCAAGTGGCACATTGGTTAAGAGCTGGTTTGGGATGCCAGCTCTCAGCAGCAGGACCCCGGTTTGGATCCCACATGAGGGCCAATGACACTGTGCCCTCTACAGCTAAGATGGTGAACAACAGCCTGATCTGGAGCTGGACTGCTGTGAGTCCCCGGCGACGGCATAGGCTGCAGCCCCTGCTGCAGTGGGCTAACAAGCTACTGTGAGTGGCCGGCAGCCAGCGTGAGTGGCCGGCAGCCAGCATGAGCTGCCAAGAGCCGCCGTGAGCAGCCGTCCAGAGGCCGGCGACCGATCTGCCTCATTCAGGAAGAGCGCAATGATAATACCAACATGGGCCAGTGAAGCGACGTCCTCCACAACTAGACTGAAGAACAAAAGGACAGCAACTTGTCTGTTCCCCTCTCCCGATTCCTCAACCCTGTTCCCCTCCCCCAATTCCCCAATAAAATCTTAAAAAAAAAAAAAAAATTCCCCTCCCCAGTACCTCTTAGCCTATCCTGAACTTGAATCTTAGCCTATCCTAGACTTGAATCTTCTCCAAGAGAGCCACAGGACTTCTGACACCTCACACTGCTACCCCCACACTCACACTGCTAACTGGTAGGGTACTGACCCAGCAGCCTGAGTTCTGAGTCCCAGGGCTGGAATGCAAGGTGACAAACTATCCTTGTTTTCCTGGGACTGAGGGATTTCCTGAGGTGTAGGACTTCTAGTGCTAAAACTGGGGCAGCCCTGGGCAAACAGAAATGAGTTGGTTACCCTAATTTAAGGTTCAAGAGGCAGCTTTTAGAAGGGGATGAAGAATAAGCAAGGGGCCCTGAAAATGAAGCAGGGGAAGTATGTGTATGTTGTGTATGTATATTGAAGGGGCAACACAGGTACAAAGAATACTTTTTGTATGTAATGGCTGACAGGTTTAGCTTTACACTCGTAGTCATTGTCTGTTTCTGTCCATGATGCGATTGTTCTTCCAGTTGCCCAGGTTTGCAAGGACATCACTAACTCTTGTAATTTTTGGTCACTGGGGGAATCACACTGATTCTTCTTTCCTGACAGCCTCCCCCTCTTCCCTCTCCGAGTCTGGCCCTGAGTTCTCTCTGCTCTTACCTTTTGCAGTGGCCAGAAGTACACTACTTCCCCAGTGTCTTGGTCCACACTGTACATGCAGCCAGATTAGCATGCCCTAAACATTGGTGTCCTGCCTCTTCTCTAAAACCTCCAAGGACCATGCTCTGGCTGCAGTACAATGCTTAAATTCCCACCATTGGCCCTTCCTCTCTCCTCTGTGTGTACACCCTTTTCTTTCTGTTAGGCCCAGTCACGGTTATAGGGACAGAACCTGTAAGTGGCCAAAAGCATGAGCTACTGAGACAGACAAACAAGCTGGTGAGTCCTGGCTTCAACACTTAGAAGCTCCATGACATGACCAAGTTTCCTTGGGCTTCTGTGATTCAGTCTCCTTATCCTTAAAATGAAATTAAAACCTCATTATTTCATGGGGTTATTGTGAAGACTAATCCATGCAAGGCACTTGGAACTGCTCAATGAATGGTAGCTATTGTCTGAAAATGCCAAGTTCCCTTCTGCCTTCCAGCCTTGTTCACCCTCCCTGAAATGTCCTCTCCTGGGACCACCTACAACTGAGGACCTAGCTGAACCCCCTTGAACCCTGGGTGGATTATTCCCAGAGCATCCTTGAGAGTGGGATTGTAGCACCTGGGCAGACACATGGGAAGGTCTGAGGAGGGTGGAGGGACTGAGGGAGAGATGGGAGGCAGAAAAGAAGCCTACATAGTTTCCTGTAGATCCGCTGGGAAGGCCAGGGATGGGGGAGGGCCTGTAGCTACCAAGCGCTCCTCTTCCCTCTCCATCACACTACAGGATGATTAATCACCAGTGGAATAAATTAATCTCAGAAATGTCCGCCAGCCAAGGTAGCCTGCGGGGGGGAGGGCGGTCTCCATCCTTCAAGGCACTACTCCAAGCTCCGCCTTCGCGGGCAGGGCAAGGCCATCCCACCCTCCAGCCACCGCCACGGTCCCAGGAGGAACATTTTTCCGCCCAATTGTGGGGCGGAGGTACCAGCAGTACGCGCGTGCCCTCTTTCCCGGCGCGCATCAATTTGTGTCTCAGCGTAGGGTTCTTTCAGCGGGGGATGGGTGAAGGGTCGGGACCCCATTAACAAATGACCTCAGGGTGAGGAAAGAGGAAAGAGTCAGGTACAACACCCTCACGCTGGGGCCGGTGTAGAGGTTAGGAGCAAGGTCTCCGACGCGGCAGCGGATCAAAGGCGCGGTGGAGTCCTACGACCCAGGAGGCCAGGAGGGGAGGGGTCGCCCGAAGTTACCAGAGTTCTATCTCTGTCCCCTCAGCCCCGAGTCTCTGGAGCTGTGAAGGCTGGCTGGATGCCTGGATCCAAATCCTGACGTAGTGGCTCTTTCTTTGTAAAAAGGCCACAATTATATCACCTACCTTATAGGGTTGCTATGAGGGTTAAAGGAAGCCGCCTTTAAAGCGCTGCGCACAGTGCCAAGCGCGGCGCAATAATCAGCAGATTTTGCTCTTATTCTCCCGACGCGGGATTGAGGCGTGGTGCGGCGGAGTCTGGGAAAGGTGAGTGTCTGCCTGGACTGTGAGCTGGAAGAGGCCGGGGTCGGCACCCTCCCTCCACCCGGCAACCGGGACTGGGCTCCGAGTGCGGAGGCGAGGAGTCCAGGGCCCAGAGCCCAGGCCGCTGCTTTTCAGTCAATTGTCCACCTGTATCTCCTCGTCTGACAGGTTGGCCCCGGAGTCAGGCAGTGTGGGGCCGAGGCCCGGGGCGCCGTCGGGCAGCGCGAGACAGACTTGGACTTCGCGGGACAGCGCATGCAGCGAGGCCACGTCCGCGCGCATCTCCTCCACGTCCCGCTTGAGCTTGGCGCGCCGGTTCTGGAACCAGGTGACGACCTGCGCGTTGGCCAGGCCGAGCCTCGCTGCCAACCCGTCTCGCTCGGATGGTGCCAGGTACTTCTGGAAGACGAAGCGGCGCTCCAGCTCCAGCACCTGCTGCGCAGTGAACGCTGTGCGTGACTTTCGCCGTCTGCGGCCAGCCGGGCCGGGGCCCAGAGCGCCCGGGGCCACGTGGCCTGCGGGGATAGGACTGGGGTCAGTCTCCAGATTTAGTGAATCCGGCTTTGGCCTGGGAGGAAAAGCTGGGAGTGGGGTCAGACCAGCGTGAGGGTGAGGGGACGGGAGCCAGACTGTGGTCCCTTACCAAACTGCGTGGGGGTCAGGCCGAGGAGGGGGTGGGGGCACAAAGTGGAACCCGCCACTGGGGTACAGGAGGCAGGCAGCAGGATGAGAGCATCTCGGGGTAGGAGTGGGAGGAGGGCGGGACAGACCCGAGGAGGCCTAGTGTGGGGTCAGGCTGTCTGGGGCGGGGCCTTTGAAGCCTTCCTGAGGCCCCTATTAAGTTGGCTTGCAGGTTGGGGCCGGCACCAGAGGCGGGGGCCAACCGTGGTCCGAGGAGGGGCAGCCCACCCTGCATAGTGAGTGTAACAGGACCCCGATCTGGCTCTTCTTTAGACTCGTGGGTCACGTCGGGCACTCTCGGCTTACTCTTTTTTAGTGACACAGGCGCCCCCTCCACAAGCCCAAAAGGGAGGTTGGGGTACAAAAGGCAAGAAAGACGGAGTCCGGAGTCCCGGGGTCCTTGCTGCTCCAAGGACCTTAAGCTCCTTGCGCCTTCTCCAGAAGAGAGGGGCTTGCAGAAGAGCGTATTTATCCGGAGGGGCGCGGGCTTTGCCTCCCAGCACTTTATGCGCCGCCCTAGCCCTAGCTCATTCGTTTACAGCCTCCTGCTCTGGCCTTTTGTTTCCTTTTCTCCGGCCTTTCTCTGTCACGATTGCCCCGCCTACAGCGAACGGACCACCGGGTCGCTCAGTTCTCGACAGCCCGGCTCTTCCCCTCGGCGCTGGCCGCGGAGCCTGGGAACTAACGGAAGGGAAGTGAGGAGCGGGAGATGCAAGTCTCGGCACGTGGGCTGAGGACAGGGGACGGATTAGGGTGGCGACCCGGGTGAACGAAGGCGGAGACCGGGAACCTGGAGAAGAGAGATGGGGAGGCGGCCAAGTCACAGTGCGTGACCTGGTCGGCGCTCTACCTTCAGAGGGCTGCGGAGCGTGCCGGTCAAGTCCGCGGAAAGCTTTACTAGTCAGCTCCTCCAACGCGCACAGCGGCGACATGGGACCTGGGCTCCACTCTGGAAGCTGCGATGCAGGGGGTCCTCGGGGAACCACGTGTAGGCCTAGGATGTCTGCGATGCTGAAGGGTGTCCGGGCTGTCCGGGGCTCAGGTCCCGAGCTCATGGCTGGGTGGGCTGTGGTGGTTCCGCCGCCCGTTGCGCTCGGCTCAGCAGCTGCCTGGACCCCGTCGCGCTGCTCCCGATCTGGGCCCCCCGCCTCGGACCCGCCCCCCGCTCTGGGCTTAAGCCCGGTGTGCCCCTCCTCCTGCGCCCCCACCTCCCAACCCGGGGCCACGGTGGGTCTGCAGCTGGTAGATGTCCCGGCAGCGGTATATCTACAGACTAAGGAGTCGCGGAGACAAGCCAGAGGAACAACCCGCCAGACCTGACCGCCGGGTCGTTCCGTGCAGCCGGGCGCGGCCCAGTGCTCATTTCAGCAGGACCCTTCCTGGGCGGCCCCCAGATGCTGTGTGCCACAGACTCCCCGCCTAGCTGCCGCTCAGGCTCATAAACTCGTCGGCAATAAAATTGCTTTCTCTGCCCCTAATGGCTGAGGATGTGCAAAATTCCAAGAAGGGGATCAGAGCTGACTGTGCCAGGATTTCGGATCCCACCTAGGAAGGACCTCAGTCTCCTGACCTGGTCCCCTCATCCCCGCCCCATCCCTGCGGAAAGATCGTTAAAGAGGTCGTGGCGGCTGGAAGTTATTGGCGCGGCGCGGGGTACCGGGGGGCCTCAAGACTTGGAAGGACCTGGTCCAGCGGAGCAACTGCAACGGGAATTGTGGGTTTGCGATGAGGGGAGCACGCGCAGGTGAGCGTGAACTCCAGCGGGTTCTCCAGCTGGACCCAAGATTGTCCTAGCACGGCTCAGAGGTCTTAAGGAAATTAAAACACATCTAGAAGCGCGGGAGACCTGGACCTCAGGAGAGAGGACACAGAAAACCTGGAGCTAGGGCTACTGCCCAGGAGGGGTCTTTGCCAGTGCAGGCTGACCTCACAGAGGGCCTTCTGGTTACACTATCCTATCAGTCTGACTATCAGTTGATCTTTGTCTCCTTATTAAGCTTCTGTAGTTCCAGTAGGGGTTCCCCAGTCTGGGGAGGCCCAGAAACCCAAGCAGGAACAGTGGTGGGAGGGGCCACTGGTCATTGCCCTAAAGAAGAGTGATTTGAAGGGCCAACTTCATGGACCCAACCAGATCCTGGGACAGAAACTTCTGCCAACCCAGGGGCAAACTCTAAGGCTGGGATATTCACACCCATTTTATCTTTGTCCTGTGTGTCTTTCTTCTCTCCCACAACTAATCTAGTCCTGGGCTCAAGCTGGGGTGAGCACTCCACAGCCCGGCTTTGTACTAATTAGGGCAGCTCTGGGACAGCGCTGCTTCACCAGTGGAGGCCCAATAAGGTAAGGCCTTTGTTCACATGTTACACCCCAAATAGCTAAGGAATTCACAGCCCAGAGGCAGAGAAGCCCCACCACTCCTGAGGAACTCACCACTCCTGAACTCTGAACTCGCTGCTGTTTTCTTCTAGCTTTTTCAAATGGTGCCATTAAGAATCGGCGATCTCTCCTGGACTGTCCCTTCCGTCACCTTCTCTTAGACCTCTGCACCTCCCACCATATGTGCAGTGATCTTGTGCGTCCATCTGTCCATTCCCTGGGGCAAGTGGAGCCCGCAGTTGGGGTGCCCCAAACAGCGCTTGGGAGATCTGAGGCACCTGGGCTGAAGACTCCTTAACAAGGACAGGAAGATACTTTGATAGTGGGTGTCTGGGAACCTCACATTGAGGCACTGACCTGGCCCATCCAACAAAGGTGGAGAAGCACAGGGTCATCTTGGTAAAGGCTCCTTCCAATGACCATCCTATTCCCCAGACATACCCCCTTACATAGTGCCCTTGTGGCAGCTTGAGCAACTTGGCCCAATGGGTCAGAGAGCAGAGTCAGAAAGCTGAGATGCCTCAGCACCTAGTTATTTGGTCATTAACGGTGGGGGGCAGAGTAGGGCCAGGAGAGATCCTCCTAGCTAGAGGCCTCAGCCCTCTGAACCATCCTGGTGGTTTCACTTAAATCTGCAATTAAAGAGGGTCCCAGGAGGCGCAGAAACTGCTCAGCTCACATCCCAGGTCTGTCACCAAACAGACACAACTTTCACTCATGCATCTTCATGCATCACTCATGCATATGTAGCTTTTATGTCATCTCTTCTACTCTCAATTACTAGTGTGTGTCTGTGTGGGGCTCTCCTAAAGGGCCTTTGCCTTGCTCTACTTCCATCTTTCCAGCCTACCTTCTCCCCCCTGCAACTGGGCTCAGGTAATGGGGTTGGACAATGGGGTCAGGTGATCCCCAGATGTGAGTTTGGGGGAGGAGAGGGAAGGAGAGACAAGTAATGGGAGGAGGCTGCTGACAGTACAGCCCAACTAAGGTCTCCCAGGAGTCCAGGGACTTATCCAGATGATTGTGGGGCCACGGGAGGGGACTTTCCCCAGCAAAGCCTCTGGAACCTGAGCTGGGGAGAAACCGGATCCTTGGAGGGGGTAGGAGGAGGGTGAGTGATTAATGAGGGAGATTAAGAGATTAAACTTGGATTCTGGGCTTGGGAGGATCTTAGCTGTGTAATAGGTTTTCTCCTACCCCAGTCTGGGAGCCCCGACAGTCTCCAGTGCTCTGTGATGCACGCCTCTTCCTCCCCGAGCCATGGTCCAACCCTCCCTGCCTTAGGTCCTTCCCAGAGCGATTCACAGACATACTCATACTCATTTGCCACTGCCTACCCTCCACCCCTCAGACGGTTTTCTCCCTGCATTCCCAAGCAATCCCTCAAGTCTCCCTCAGATTCCCCTCATTGTCCCTTTCAGACACCCCGGGGTCCTCCACTCCCTCCACTTGTAGAACTCCCCACATTCCAATTTTCACTCCCTAGGGGGAAGTGCCTCCACTCCCTCTTAATGTTGCTGTCTCACATCTCCCCTCATTACTCTTTCAGATTTTCATTTCCTCATCCCTCCGCTTTATCTCACAACTTATTCCCTTTCCTCGTCACCCCCATTTTCTCTCTCATTCCCTGAGATGGCACCTCTCACCCACCCTGCCCACCACAGTCTCTCATTGGCAGGCTCCTCTACCCCGGCCCACCCCAGATCGACCCATCTTCTTGGCTTGGTACAGAGATCTGCTCAATAAACATTTCGTCTCTGGATTTCCGCTGAATTCTGTGAGTGTTAGGGGGTTGGGATTGGGGATCCTCTGAATAACAGCCTCCGGGCAGTGCACAGCAGAAGACAGTCTCAGAGATGTGCTTGCCATACACACCACCCCAACCCCTGCTAAAATCTGTTAACCAGCAAGAGAGGGGAATGGGAGTTTTGGGAGGAAACTTCAGGGGGAGGAGTCTGAGGTGGGGCATCCGTCCATCTCGCACACTTCTGGGATTGTTTTCTCTTTCAGAAAACGTTACTTCAGAGTGAACTGATTCAGACACTGATATTTTAGTTTTGTTACTTCTAGGGACTCGGGTGTGTGCGTTCTTTCTGGCCCTTTTCACTGGTTCACAAAGAGCTCTGCTCAACCGCCGCCAGCTGGGGGTGTGCAGGCTGGGATGGGGGAGCAGCAGAATACTCAGATCCTCCCCACTTCCAGTTACATGCCACCTGATACTCACTGTCCTAGGGAAGCCCCTTGTCTATCTCCTCACTCTCCCCACCTCCTGGCCCTGGGAGAGACAGGCCAGGCTGAGGGACCCGTCCCCCTCTATGCCAAAGGCGGGAGCAAATCTCAGTGCCCCCTCCCCCAGGTCAGTGTGGATAGCGGAAGCCGCTAGGTGAGAAAGGGTAGCAGGGGCACAGGCAGGCATGTCCCTGCAGGTGAGGACTGACGGCTTGGTCGCGCTGAGAGGTCAAGGGTGCCAGGCAGAGGGCGGGCTGAGCGCCTGCTGCATCACTGATGAGTCCAAGAGAACCATGGGCTTGATTTGCCCGCTCTGGAGCAGATAGAGACCTGAGTGACCCTGAGGAATAGTGTCTGTGTGGGGGCAGGCCAGGGAGGGGGATAATGGGCCCAAAATCGAGGGAGAGCAGGGCGGAGCCCGCAGCTGGCTTGTATCAGCCACCTCGGGGAGATGCACCACAGCTGCCGCTGCCACCTCCGATGACAGACAAAAGGAAGGCTTGGTTGAGCTGGGGGCAAGGCTCGGCAGCTGCTCTACCCTAGATTGGGTCGGGGGGCATGGGGGGCCCTGAGAGCCTTTGACTGCTCCTTGGCCACAAGCCATGTGTTGTCAAAGGCCTTATCCCCAGGCTCGGTCCTCAAGTCTTGGGGCCTCGGGCAGCCTATCTTCTGGCTAGGCCTTCTTGATGCGCAGCTGACGTCCCAATCAAACTACTCCCCAATTCCTGCAGCTGCTTGGGCCAGAAAAGTCCCCAGGGGTGTTTCTAATCTCCTTCCCCCTAGCCCACACTTCTCCCTCTGAGTCACTCCTCAGAAACGCCCTTTCGCTTTCACATGCAAACTGCCTGGAGAACAGCCAGAGTGCTCTGGTGGGCCCCAGAGACCCCAGAGCTGAAATCTGGAGTGGGGAACCCTGGATAGATAGAATTAATCCAAAACCTTGAGATATATGTGGTGTATAGACAGGCCCAAAGACAGTGGAAGAAGCCCTGATTCT